AAAATTTCTGTTGCTAAACAAGGGAGTTTTGCTCCATTTTATGACCTTTCTTGCCACAGTTGTTAGGTAAATCATGACAGTTGTTAAGTTAGTAACACAGTTGTTAAGGGAAACTGGCTTCCCCATTGACTTTGCTTATCAGAAGGTCACAAAAGGTGATCGCAGGACCCAGGACACTGCAACCATCATAAATACATGCCAGTTGCCAAGTGTCTGAATTTTGATCACATGACTATGGAGATGCTACGATGGCTGTGTGAAAAACTGTTATGAGTAACTTTTTTCAGTGCCGTTTTATCTTCAAATGGTTGACAGTTGAGGAACAGCTATACTACTTAGCCCTCTACCTTCAGCCTTGAGCAAGTGGAGGATCAACTGGAGATGGCAATGTTGATGAGAGATGTAGTGGTGGTGATGGTAACTACTGCCACTTTTCCTACTTGTGATTAAGTTTAAGGATTGCACTAAGTCAGGGGTGTCAAACTCAAGGCCCGGGGGGGGGGCTGAATCCGGCCCATGGGATCTGATCTGGCCTGCGGGGCCATCCTGGAAACAGTGAAGGACCGGCCCGCGGTGCTTCTGCCAGTGAAAACAGGCTCCCAAGCTCCATTTTTGGCTGCCACGGCCTTCTGCAACCGTCGGGCCACTATGTAATCTCTTTAACATTTTTACCTAAATCATACTAAAACAGTAAGAAGGTAAAAATGGAAATAAGTGATTGAATAACTTTATAATGCATGTAAGTCAGTATCCCAATAGAACCAAGCATGGTTTACATAGATCCTACCCTGAGATTAATTAAGAATCCTGCAGATGATAGCTGCTTATAAAACAAGCTGTTTACAATAGATGCAAAACGTTGAGAATTTATGAAGTTTTTTTTACTCAAGAGGCCAAATAATTCATTTCAAAGCCAATATATTTATAATTAACTCATCATTTTATTTGAAATAGAAATGTATAGAAATCCTCTGAAATTCACAATAGACCAAACAAGACAAGTACCACTCATCTTTTTGCATTTCCAGAGCCTTGTCATGGCACATGATTCTTACTTTCTAGTTATCTTTATGACATCTGCATTATGAGAACCTAATTTCTATCTTCTGGAGTAGACTTTTTTTAATAATACTTGTGGACCCAAAGAACCTATGAAATCTGCACGTTTTTCTCATAACATAGCTTTCCAGCTGGGCCAAGATGGAGCTCAAAAAATTTCAGGGCCTCTTTCCAGAAGTGTTCCTCAGCTTTGGCATGAGGCTTCGACTCTCCTCCCCATATTGTGGGCATAGGACTAACCCGGAGAAAAGACAAAAAACAAGTTGGGGATCCTGGTGGTTCTATCATATGCCCAGCCCCAGGGTAATGTAATAAGCTACAGTTAGTTCTCCCAAACTTCTTTGCACGGCCTAAGGCCATTTCAGCAAACATCTTGCTGTTCAAGCTTTGGTCAGCTTCTCCTACCACAAGGAGAATGTGACCCTGGGCTTTTTCCACGGGAATGGCAGAGACTTCATGAACTGAATCCAGAGGATCTCCCATGACATTAAAACTGGACAACAATCCAATTTCATTGATGAGAATTGCCTCTGTCGAGTAGGGAACAGCAGGGATGTTGATATCGCGAAAATGAAGGGGTGCACCATTCATACTTGTGGCACCATTGATGCAAACTGCAGCTGCTATTTCCTCTAAGAAGGTTCCCATGGCTAATGCAATTTCAGCTCCTTTGGACAAGCCAATAACTCCAATTTTGGGGCCTTTTACCTGGGTGGATAAGGGGAGAAATAAACACATAGCCAAGGTTAAAAATAGTTCACAGAAGCTTGAAAAGTGTTATGCAAACATAGCCAAGGGAAAATGGAAATTCTTAATCCCGATCCAAACACTTATCACAAAAACCTAAATACACAGAATGAATTTGTCAAAGGAAGTGATGGAATTCTACTGGGCAGAATATAAACTTGCCCAGGGTTTGGTTTTAAAATTTGGCACTTAATTATAATGCCTTTTCTGCCATCAAAATCCTCCTGTCTTGTGTAGTCATAAATAAAACTACCTGAGACCCCTTGTGAAGTTAACTGAGTCTTATTTGCAGATTTAATCCCTTTTAGTGTTTCCCGCTTAATATGGTTGGGCAATTATCAATGAATATTCAAGAGTTAACAATCAGATGGCCATTCTTCTGTCAGCCTGAATCTGGTCAATTTAGCCTTGTGGTGTCTATGACACTGTCCAGTCTTGAAGTGCCCTCAGCAAGAGTTCCCTGAAGTTCCCAATCTGCTTTTACCAGGCTATTCGGTTCCGCTTGGCTCAATAGCAATGTGCTAAATCACATTTTTCTCACCCGTCCAAACAAAATTGCTTCTCCTTATTCTCACTGCTGCCAACTGGTGAAGAGAGTGCTGCTCTAACAAGTCAGTTGCAGCTAAACTGTATTAAGTTTTCCATTAGAGCAGTGGTAGTCAACCTGGTTCCTACCACCTACTAGTGGGCGTACCAACTTTCATGGTGAACGGTAGGGGTTTTGTCCTCTACTTTATAAATCACCATTACTGTGGATCCGGTGGGTAGTTAGAGAAAATTTTACTACTAACAGAGATACAAAAGTGGGCGGTAGGTATAAAAACGTTGACTACCCCTGCATTAGAGTATACTTCCCTGGGCTATTAGTGAGGAGAGCCAAGCAGCCAGTGATTTACTTTCGTGGGACCCCAGGGGTGTGATAGATCTGACCCATAGTATTTTACAGAGGTTTTGTTGCACTCTAAGGCAAGAACTGAAGCTTTTGTCTTGTGCACATTCTCTCTTTAACAAACTAGGATGAAAAATAGGCTGAATTTTCATTTTTCAGATAACTGAAATAATACCTACAACAATTTTTATATTTCATCCTCATAACTATCTGTAATTTGTTTCTCTGGGCACCTAAATAAATTATAGAATTAAGATAATAATGCTATGATTCCTTAAAATAACGAGAGTTGTTATCTTAATGCTAAAAAATTTTTTTAAAGACTTCTATCCAAATATCCCTCTTCAGGCTCCACTCTTGTTCCTTTCTTTTTTCCTAATCATGATTCTTAAAGTCCTGTTTTCAAAACTGACTGCCTTATCTTGATATTTTAAAGTTCACTGTGCAAAAGAAGGAATGAAAGGATAGAAAAATAAAAAAAACAAAAACATTTAGCCCACAAAAAAAACAAAGACTCCTTTGTGTTGATCTTGACTTCCACTGACATAAAAGACACGTTTGTTAATTTTCTTGGCAACAATAATAGAAGCTTTCATCTTTGCTGTATTGACTAGTATTTTTCAACTTCTGTTTAGCTTACAGGTAGTGACCATTCAAAGCAGTGGTGGGATTCAATTTATTTTACTATCGGTTCTGTGGGCGTGGCTTTGTGGGCGTGGCAGGGGAAGGATATTGTAAAATCTCTAGTCAGAGGTGGTATTCGTCGATTCTCCAAACTACTCAAAATTTCCGCTACCGGTTCTCCAGAATTGGTCAGAACCTGCTGAATACCACCTCTGGTTCAAAGTTACAACAGACCCTCCTCCCCAAAAAGTACTTATGACTAGAGATGGGAAGGCCTGGAATAAAAGGGAACAATTGGGAAAAAAGGTTGGGGTTTTTTTTCCAATTTTTTTTCCCAAACAGCTCTGGAAAAAAACCAAAACCTGCTTTCTTTCCAATTTTTCCAGTTTTTTTTCCAGGCCTTCCCATCTCTACTTATGACCTGGATTTTAAGTTCCAATGGCTTCCCCTCCGCCCCAGGTCATGTGATCACATTTTGGGTGCTTCACAACCGGCCCATATTTATGGCTGTTTACAGCAACTTCTGCTCCCATGAGCACAATTTATGACATTTTTTTTGCCAGAAACTGAGATTTGCTTCCAATGGGTTCCCTTAACAACCACCACTGCAAAAAAAGTTATAAAATCAAGTTGTTCATGTGATGACCTCATTATTGACTGGCATAATTTATAACCATAATTTGGGCTCAATCGCAATTCTAGGTTGAGGACTATCTGCACTGCCATAAATTTTCATGATTGTCTCCTAGCTAAGTACTGAACATACTTTTAAGCAGAACATACCTGCTTAGCTCTTTTTTGGGGGGACCAGCTAAGGTCAGCTTGGCGCTGTCATCTAGATGGGTTACTTAGATACATCCAGTTCTAAATCACATCCTTCAGAATAACTTACAGCAACTGAGCAACCCCATTTTATTGATAATCCCAGGTTTTCTTGATGCCATTTGTTAATATGCAAATCTGGGAGAAAGAGAAGCCTTGAACACATAGGCCTATTTCTGGAACTCATCCATTCCACTCCACATTTGTGAGACAATGGTCAGTTTATTTTCTGGACACGCAGTGTGACAGATCGTTTTGTATTTGGTGTCTGTTTGCCTCAAAAAGAAGTATGCCCTGTCTTCAAAACTTTTCCTTGGATATTTCCATTTGGGTACTAATCAGGTCCAACTATATTTGGCTTCCAAGGACAATTAGGTGCTGCTACTTGCTAAGATAGAAACTGATCCACACAATAAAATAATGTAAGATAGGAACAGTTAGCTTTGGGTTTGGCTGAGAAGTCTTTCTTGTTTATATTGTAAATGGGCTATCCTAACAACGGTTGAGGCTTTCTTTGGGATAGGAATTGGGGCGGGGGGGGGGGGGGAACCATTACTGACTTCATTTTACAGTTGAGCACTTCTACTAAAGAAATACCAATCAATCTTATGGAACCATGAGACAAATAGAAACTTGGAAATTTATTTTCCCACGTCATTGTAGTTGTGCTTTTATAGTTGTAGCAACGTTTCGGCAGAATCTCATCTGCCATCATCAGGCTTTGTTCGGGTATTTTCCCACATCATTGTATATACCCGAACAAAGCTGAATGCCATACATGTAAGTACCCGCGAAACATAAAGTACCCGCGAAAACTTGAGAATATATATATATATATATATATATATATATTCCCCTTTACTGCAAAGTTGTATTTCTGATATGTACTTTACAGAATAATAAACCATGTCAGAATAATAAATCATCTCATCTAGACTGTAGTCCAGAATCACAGGAGGATGACCTCCTTCCTGGGGAGCAAAGAGACAACATAGCTTTGAATCTCTGGTATGTAGGAAAAGGGCAAAAACAGACCCTCCCTTGCAGCTCACAGGATAAATCTAATAGTCACACTGAGAAGTGCTTTAGTCTGGCAAAATTTATGTCTATTGGCGAGTAACAGTCAAGAAAGTACTCTGAAGTAGTGTAATCAGTGTCTGTGGAGATTCTGTCATCCAGGTCATAGTTGTCTCAAAGGTGCTTTTGAAAAGGCAACTGGACTGTTTTTTTCTTGAGGAAGAAGAACAAAACATTTTGTTTCTCATCCGTGAAACATCATCATGTGTGATGGCAGGGGCAGGCTGAAAGGACGGTTGAGACTGACCAGATGGTGAAGTACTCTGAGCACTCTGAAGGAGCTCCTTATGCCATTCTTGGTTCCTTGGGGCTGACAATGAGTTCCCACATCACACTAAGCAAATCCAAGCAAATCACTTTATGTTTCATTATGGTTTGTGAACGTAAAAAGGTTGATAGTTTTGTATTCTATGGTCATTGGCATTTTATGTGAATTAGGCAGCAATGGCTTATTCAACAAACTATGGATCAGTAAATCCTATGAATGGTCTTTTTTTCTGGTTACAATTACTGCCAAGTTATCACATTTTCAGATGACGTTAAACCTGGCTGCGAACTGAATAGAAATAAAAGTCAGAATTATCTAGAAAGGTCAAATAAACCGCTGGTAAAAAATTTTTTTTTTTTTGAAAGTAAACCAAAGGTGAAATTAAGCATTTAGAAAGCATAATTCAGATGAATACTTATGGGGTGGAAGATATTTGATTTGACACTAGTATCTCAAAAAATAAAAAAGCTTAGAATAGTTGTTGGTTGAAAACTATCACATAGCATTGTGATGTTATAAAAAAAGAGCAAATGTAATTTACTTTGCACCAGAAGAAATGTAAGTTCCAAATCTCAGGAGGAAATGTTCCACCCTTTAAGAACTCACACAAGCTGTTGTAGTTTTAGAGAATGGCAACAAAGTATATTGACATGTGCAGCTTTATGAAAAGCAAAAGATGGAAGAAAGGATATAAAAGCATTAACAAGCCCACAGAGAATGCTAATGTCTGTTTTCTTCTCAAACTGTGGGACATATAAACATATGAGGCAGACTGTATTTCAAGAGTCTTCAAACTTGGCAAATTTAAGACTTATGGAGTTCAACTCCCAGAATTCCTGAGCTAACAAGACTGGAGGAGAAATTCTGGGAGTTGAAGTCCACAAATCTTAAAAGGTGTCAAGCTCTATTTGAATGTTCTGAAAAATTTCCTAACACCAAGAGCAGTTAATTAGTCAAAGAGCTAGAGGGATCCCCTTCATCTAAAGAAGATGTTTTAACTTTAACCTGCATAGAGTAAGAAGACTGGAGTTCATGGCCTCAATGGCTCCAACCAAATGCATAATTCTAAAAGAAGCTAAACAATGGGCCCTTTCTTTTATCATAAACTGCTGTTCTGAAGTGGTCCAAGATGAAGCTTAAAAAAATTCAGGATCTCATTCCAAGAGTGTTCCTGGGCTTTAGCATGAGGCTTCATTTCCCCACCCCATTGGATTGGCAAGGGAAAAACCCGAAGTGGATAGACAAAGCAAACTGGTGATCCAGGGGGTTCTATCAGATGTCCAGCTCCTGGATAAGACAACAGGCTACAATTATTTTTCCCATGTTTCTTTGCTCGAGCTATGGCTGCTTCAGCAAACACCTTGCTATCAAAGCTTTGGTCAGCTTCTCCCACCACAAAGAGGATGTGCCCTTGAGTCTTCTCCATAGGGATGGTAGATACTTCAAGTGTTTCATCCAGAGGATGTCCCAAGCAGTAGGAAATGGATGCCAATCCCATTTCATTAATGCAGAGCTTCTCATGTTTGAAGGAAGCTCCAGGGATAGTGACATCATGAAAATGGAGTGGTGTATCACACATTCTTGTTGGACCATTGATGCACACTGAAGCCATTACTTCCTTTAAGAAAGTACTCATGGCCAATGCAATTTCTGCTCCTTTGGATAAACCAATAACTCCAAGTCCCGGACCCCTTACCTAGATGAGCAAACACAGAGATATATATATAAAATTTTAAATCAGTTTCTTCTTTAAAACAATGAGAACAAACAATATCAAAGCTATAAAAAAATGAGTCTTTTAGTGCACATGCTAGATTATTGCAGATCTACACCATTCAAAAATGGAAAATTGGTCACCTTGTCTTTCTGCCAGCCAGCCAATATGTGACAAGAAAATATGACAGAGAAGGAAGCAAGCAAGCAAGCCTGACAAAAAACGTTGCTGCTTTTATGAATCAACTCTTTAAAGCAGTACACTTTTAGCACGACTCTCAATTGCATATTTTTGCTTGTTACACGTAAAGCTACACGTAAAGAAGCTTAAGGGAAAAAAATGTATGCTTTAATGAAAACCAAGTGGAGTGGGTGTCATGGGTGTCCACAAAATGGCAAAAGAGCATTGCAGTATTGAGGGGTCAGCCCTGCACCTTTTGTATGTGCATGGGATGTCACAATGCACATACAAAAAGTGGCAATGCAATGCTACT